TAATCTGTGAGAACTGGGTTTGATTCCCCACTCCTCCACTTGCAGCTGCTGGATGACCTTGGGCAAGCCATAGTTCTGTCAGTGCTCTTCTCTCAAGGACAGCTCTCTCAGCTTTGTTTACCTCACAGGGTGTCTGTTGTGGGGAGGGGAAGGGAAAGGAGTTTGTAAGCTGCTCTGAGGCACCTTTGGGTAGTGAAGGGTGGGGTATAAATCCAATCTCCTCTTCTTCTTTTACCTCACAGGGTGCCTGTTGTGGGGAGGGGAAGGGAAAGGAGTTTGTAAGCCGCTCTGAGACTCCTTTGGGTAGTGAAGGGCGGGGTATAAATCCAATCTCTCCTTCTTCTTTGTTTACCTCACAGGGTGTCAGTTGTGGGGAGGGGAAGGGAAAGGAGTTTGTAAGCTGCTCTGAGGCACCTTTGGGTAGTGAAGGGTGGGGTATAAGTCCAATCTCCTCTTCTTCTTTTACCTCACAGGGTGCCTGTTGTGGGGAGGGGAAGGGAAAGGAGTTTGTAAGCCGCTCTGAGACTCCTTTGGGTAGTGAAGGGCGGGGTATAAATCCAATCTCCTCTTCTTCTTTTACCTCCCAGGGTGGCTGTTGTGGGGAGGGGAAGGGAAAGGAGATTGTAAGCCGCTCTGGGACGCCTTTGGGTAGTGCAGGGTGGGGTATAAACCCAATCTCTTCTTCTAAACTCTCATTCCGACCGTTCTCTTGCATTTTAGGAGTTCAACCCCGAGGAGTTTTACCATTTGCTGGAGGCGGCAGAGGATCATGCCAAAGAGGGTCACCTGGTGAAGACGGACATCCCTCGCTACATCATCAGTCAGCTGGGACTCACCCGGGACCCCTTCCCAGGTAGCCCAGGCAAAAAAAACCCCCAAACCCTACAAAAACCAGTATGCAGTCAGGCAGACGTGTATGTATGCGACTGGGCCACCGTACGTGTTCTGTGGTCAATGGTCTGTGACCCCATGCATGTCTCCGCATGCGTGCCTTGTGAGATCTGTGGGTTCCGGCTGTCGAGTTTGGTGTTACATTGGTCCTGAGAGCCACAGACTGTCTCCTTCCCCCTCCGAGGTGCGTTCTCCCACCCGAGGCCATTCTCGTTGTCTCTGCAATAGTCAGGGAAGGGTTGCCAGCCTCCGGGTGGGGCCTGGAGATCTCCCCCAGGATTACAGCTGATCTCCAGACAACAGAGAATCTGTTCCCCTGGAGAAAATGGCCGCTTGGGAGGGTGGACTCCGTCGCGTACCTCATGAGGTCCCTCCCCGAACCCCGCCCTCCGCAGGCTCCATCCCTTAAATCTCCAGAAATTTCCAAGCCAGAGCTGGCAACCCTAGCTCAGGGCAATCCATGTGCTGGGTTGTAAGGTCAGGTGGTCCGAGTGCCAGTTTGGTGTAGTGGTTAAGTGTGCGGACTCTGATCTGGGAGAAACGGGTTTAATTCCCCACTCCTCCGCTTGCACCTGCCGGATGACCTTGCTCCCACCCCCTGCTCCCAGCAGCCCTCAGTCAGAGCAAGAAGCAGCCAGTTAAGTTACAGAGCCCCCTCATTTTATCATTTGTTCTTTAACCGTTTCATCTTCGGTATACCATTTTAACAATATCTTATACATTTTCGAAATACGTTTTTCCCCACCCTCCAACCATGCAACTTCAATTTCATTATTTTCTTCTCTAAAATCAAAGGTTTTTTTGTCCCTTTTATATAAGTCATTTATTTGCCTATATTCCAACCAACCATGTTTAAGTATCATCTCCTCCTGTTTTCAATACAAACGAGTTACCCACTTTTTTCAACACATCTTTATATTGTCTCCAATCCTCCCCCTTATAACCCGGATATGGTTTTATTACCTCTAAAGGCACAATCCACAGAGGTCTTTTATCTAAGAAGAACCTCCTATACCTTAACCATACCTCAAAGAGTACTCTTCTGACAAAATGATGTTTAAAAAGACCATCCATTTTTACCTTTTCATACCACAAGTACACATGCCATCCAAATTTACAGTCATGGCCCTCTAATGCCAGGAGTTTTTTATTGTCCAAAATTATCCATTGTTGCAACCAAGTTAAGCATGCCGCTTCATGGTATAGTCTAAGATTGGGTAGCTGGAGACCTCCTCTCTCTTTTGCATCACATAAGATCTTCATCTTGATCCGTGGCTTTTTACCACCCCAAACAAACTTGGAAATTTCTGTTTGCCATCTCGTCAATACTTTCACGTCCCTTATTATTGGTATTGTCTGAAATAAAAACATCAGTCTTGGCAAGATATTCATCTTAACTACTGCAATTCTTCCCATTAGCGACAAGTTGAATGTATTCCACTTTGTTATATCCTTCTGAATCTTTTACCACAGTTTTTCATAGTTGTTTTTATACAAATCTGTATTTTTCATTGTCAGTTCAACTCCTAAATATCTTGTTTTGTTCACCACTTCACATTGAGCCAACTTTTGCAAGTCTATCTTGCTCTTTTCCGTCATGTTCTTACACATTATCTTAGATTTGTCTTTGTTCAAATAAAATCCAGCTAATTCTCCAAATTATCCTTTTAATCAACCTTGGCATGTTCTGTATAGGCTCCTGTATAGGCTTCTGTATAGTTTATAGTTATAGTTATAGTTATAGTTATAGTTTATAGTTGTGGGCTACCAATAGTAATTGAGGGATTAGGATCCTGGCCCAGGACGAAGCTTCACATGGTGTTTCAATAACTGCGTTCACATACATATCTTGGTCACATTGAATACACCACAGGCTGCTCCACGCACACAGAATACTCCAGAGATTGTTCCAGAAACCTGAACCCAAGCTATCAAAGCAAACCTCTCGTTTGGCCCTCAGTCGACAGACACCTACGCCTGGCCGTTTGCTTCCTCCGCGAAGGAAAAAAGGGCGCAGGAGTGTGTGACTGAGAGCACAGAGACTGGCAGCAAAGGATTCGGGAACCGTTTCCCCGTTCTTGCGTCTACCTCACCGTTGCCTCAGCCTCCCGCTTCACCGTTCCTTTTCCCTCCGTAACCTTTCCCGCTCGCTGTACTCTAAATCGGGCTCTAATGGCTAAATAGTTAGCAGAAAGCTGGGGATGCTGAATAGTTAGCAGAAAGCGTTCACTTTGGGGATGCTTTCGTTCAGGTGATGGGCAGAACCTCAGCTCACAAGGGTTGTGGGTGGTGGGCCTGCTTCTTGCTCGCCTCTGGCAAACTGAGAGCCGAACTAGGCATGATGAGGGGAATCCTTGGACTGCCTCTTGACCAATTTCTTTGGAGGGTGGGGGTGCTCCGAATCCGATCAAAGCACCGGCATTGGGGAGGTGTCTCTAACCCTTCCTCTCAGGTGGAAATCGACACCCGCGCTCAAGTTCCTTTTCTCCTTATGGGGGAAAGGATATTGAGACATGTCCTGTCATGTATAGTTCCGCCCAGTCGTCAGACTTCATTAGGATGCCAGGAAGCATCTACCTGGACTCAGGATTCTGACATTCGGGGAAGTACAGGTCCAATTTTGGGGTGTCGAGGGCAGTGTTCCCTCTAAGCTGAGTTAGTGTGAGCTAGCTCACAGTGTTTTAGCCTCCGGCTCACACATTTTTGTCTTCGCTCAGGAAGGATGGCTCCAGAGCAAACTAATCTATGCAGTAACCAAATCGCTCCCTCACAACTTTAATGTCAGAAGAATTTTTGTTCACGAGACTCCACAGCTTAGAGGGAACATTGGTCGAGGGGCATCCACGGCCCCGAGTTCCAGAAGGACTCCGAAATTACACATCCCAATAGCAAATGCAGATGAATCACTGTTACCAACCTGACGATATACATTGTCATGCCCAATGGTCCCTCTAAGCTGTGGAGTCTTGTGAGCAAAAATTCTACTTTGTCAGCTGCTGGCCTTAAAGTTGTGAGCGAGCCATTTGGCTGCTGCATGAATCCGTTTGGTCCGGAGCCCTCCTTCCTGAGCTGAGACAAACATCTGTGAGCCGGAGTCTAAAAAATGGTGAGCCAGCTCACACTAACTCAGGTTAGAGGGAACACTGGTCATGTCTGCAAGCTAGCGTACATTTCTGGCTGTGTTTGTAGGTGTCAGGTTTTGTGCGTTTTTGCGTTTGCGTGCCCCGAGTTTCACAGTTGTGTCTGTGTTCCACTGTAAGTGAAACAAACGTCTGTTGTATGAGCTAGATTTGAGACCGGTAGCGCCTTAGAGACCAATGAGATTTTTGGGGTATGAGTGTTTGAGAGCTGAAGCTGTCTTTGTCAGATAAGAATTCTTGGAAGGTTCATGCCCTGAAAATCTTGGTCTCTGTGGTCCTTCTGGCCTAGGGTTTCCAGACGCTCTGGTGGAGGAGGCGGTTCCTGGGCGCCAGTCCACATCGCCCCGCCACCAATCAGCTGGTGGGCGGGGGGGGACTTACCCCCCAAAAGAGTGAGGTCCAGCTGATATAGCCGTGATGTGACTATATTATTTCTGGGAGCGATGCTCTGGTATTTGGGCAAAAACGCTATGGTAGAAGCCAAATCTACCATAGAGTTTTTGCCCAAATACCAGAGCATCGCCCTGACATCGCTGCGTGATGAGGCCACTTCCGGTTCACGTCGGAAGTGATGACATAGATACATCGCTACAACGTCGGCTGAGCCGCCTTCCCGCTTCTCCCCTATCCCCTGCTGGTTGCCAGGAGGGCTCTGGCAACCCTGTTCTGGATTCGAATCTAGCTCTTCTACTGCGGACGAACACGGCTACTCTCTGAAACTCGACAATTTGGGCAGGAATCCTGAAGGTTTTTTTCCCATCTTTCGGTATGGAAGCAGGTGTCATGGGGGGTGGGGGTGGGGAGGTATTTGTGAATTTCCTGCATTCTGCAGGGGGGTTGGACTAGATGACCCTGGAGGTCCCTTCCAACTCTCTGATTCTATGAACATCTGCACACGCATTGCTAACATACACATTTTGTAGTGTGTGTTAACACGCATGGGAGCATGTCTTGCCTGTGCATGTGTCCGCCAGCGCATGAGTCGCCTCTCCCGATTCGCCAGCTAAACCTACGTCAGCATGCCGGTGGCAGCGTATGTCTCACCCGCACGTATCAGCATGCTGAGCATGTGCATGTTATCTACCACATGCATACGCCTTAGTGCGCATGCATGGCCGTGCATGCGTCTCGGCTTCACTCTTTCTGTGCTTTCACGAATGACAGCGGGGATGCTAAAGTCTTGTTCCCTTGGCTTTCCCTTTGGCTCTTTCCAAACCCTGTTGTCGTCAGATGTCCTGTGTGTGGAGGAGCACGATAGCGGAGGATCGAACACACCCGAGACAGAGGAGTTCGCGGAGGTCAGTAAGCCGGGCTCGGCTCTGCCGGCTCCACTCCAGCCCTGCGCCACCCACCCCAGCTTTTCACATCTACCCAAATCCCGGAGGCATCTCCGCCCTCACCCCTGTTTACCGTTTCCGCTGCTGCTTGTCGCAAGGGAAACAACTGGGATCGTGCCGGGGAAGGGGAGGGGTGTGTGGAAGTCAGTTGCCTCGGCTAGTCCTCAAACGTCACCTTGAGTTTGGCCAAACATGCAGCCTCGCACAGGGATATCAATCAGTCCGTCAAAGCTTACGTGACGGCTTTTGCCAGCTTAGAATACAGAGAATAAAACCCAGAACGCAAAATAAAAATAAGTTAAAGGGGGTGTCATATAAAATAATCGTACAGAGTAGGGATGCATGAATTATGGGGCAAGATTCGTCTTCTCTCTCTACGTATCGCAAGACAGGCTGCCCAAAATCTAGCCACTGAGCTTGGAGTAGTTAAAATGGAAAGTAGGGATGTGAGAGCAACGACACGTGTAATCACAGGACAACACACAGGCTTCAATAAAGGCGCTAAAGGCATTTAAGTTAAAAGGGCGACAAAAATCCAAATATCCCAGAGACCAACGTAAGGAAACATTTAGAAAAAAGAATCGATGCGTTTCAACTATATAGTCTTCCTCGGTGGTCTCTAAAAATGGCATAGATTCCTAGCATTTATTTATTTTTATTGACTTACTTGGGACCCACAAATTCCTCCCTAAAGGAAACCCAAGGTAGCCTTCATCATTAATTAATTAATTAATTAACCCTCACAACAACAGCCCTGTGAGATAGGCGAGGTTGAGAGTGTGGAACTGTCCCGAGGCCACCCAGTGAACTTCTGGGGCGGAGCGGGGATTCGAACCTGGGTCTCCCAGAACCTAGTTTTACACTAGTTTGGTGTAGTGGTTAAGTGTGCGGATTCTAATCTGGGAGAACCGGGTTTGATTCCCCACTCCTCCACTTGCAGCTGCTGGATGACCTTGGGCAAGCCGTAGTTCTGTCAGAGCTGTCCTTGAAAAAGAGCAGTTCCTGAAAGAGCTCTCTCAGCCCCACCCGCCTCACAGGGTGCCTGTTGTGGGGAGGGGAAGGGAAAGGAGATTGTAAGCCGCTCTGAGTCTCCGAGTGATGGGCGGGCGTATCAGTCCTATCTCTTCTTCTCTTCTAACCACTACACCACACTGCCTCTCTGCATTCAGACGGCCAGTGGGGCATCCACACAGCTAGTTTGGGGAGTAGTTTTCTCCATGACCTGCCGTTTCCCTTCTGTTTTTCACCCTTTGCAGCACCAGTGGGCTTTTTGAGGGCTTTCTTTTTTTAACCAAATGAGTGATCGGTGTTGAGTTACAACATTGTCACCATGATTATTTTTAATATACGAAAGCTGAGGATTCAGAGGTCCGAGTAGATTGTTCCAATAGGTTGTTATAACGTTATCGTGCTGTGGCTATCTAACAGTTGCTGAGTGTTCCTTCTTTTTTAAAAAAAATATTCTAAAAAGTCCTCTGGTGGCCTGCAAGAGAAACCGGCGGCGGCAAGGGTTCGATGGAGGGAAAAGGGCTCCAGTAGTGGGCAGGGAACTTTGAAAACGCGCCCCTTCTCATCCAGACAGCTGGCTAATGCGTTTGGACGGCATTCTTTCCGGAAAAATTCTAGCAAACCGAGGTTGAGAGAGAACGAACGAAGGACAGGGAAAGCCTAGAACAGGGGTCCCTGTGGGCACAGTCACAAAATGGCTACCGCAGGAGGCGGGGCCAGTCACAAAATGGCCGCCGCAGCATGCCTTCAGTCATTCAGGGAAGATTCTTGTGCTGTGGGGGCTCAGTCCATCAAATCTCCAGTGGCCAATCAGAAGCCTTGGTGAGCAAGAACCCCGCCTGGCCCCACCCACTTTCTAAAAACGCCTCACAGGTGCACCCTCCAAAGCCCCTGTTTTCTCCCGAGGAATTGATCTTTCTAGTCTGGAGGAATGCTCCCTCTAAGCTGTGGAGTCCTGTGAGCAAAAGCTCTACTTTGCAAGCTACCGGCATTCAAGTTGCGAGCAAGCGATTTGGCTACTGCGTCAATTAGTTTGCCTCTGGAGCCCTCCTTCCCAGGCGAAGACAGAAATCTGTGCGCCGGAGGCTAAAAAGCTGTGAGCCAGCTCACATTGACTCAGCTTAGAGGGAACACTGGTCTGGAGCCCTCCTTCCTGAGCTAAGACCAAAATGTGTGAACCAGAGGCTAAAAAACTGTGAGCTGGTTCACACTAACTCAGCTTAGAGGGAACACTGTTCTGGAGCCCTCCTTCCTGAGCTAAGACCAAAATGTGTGAGCCGGAGGCTAAAAAACTGTGAGCTGGCTCACACTAACTCAGCTTAGAGGGAACACTGCTCCGGAGCCCTCCTTCCCGGGCGAAGACAGAAATCTGTGCGCCGGAGGCTAAAAAGCTGTGAGCCAGCTCACATTGACTCAGCTTAGAGGGAACACTGGTCTGGAGCCCTCCTTCCTGAGCTAAGACCAAAATGTGTGAGCCGGAGGCTAAAAAACTGTGAGCTGGCTCACACTAACTCAGCTTAGAGGGAACACTGCTCCGGAGCCCTCCTTCCCGGGCGAAGACAGAAATCTGTGCGCCGGACCTTCCTGTTCTTTCTTCTCAAGTACTCACTAGCCTAATCAAGGTATGCTAACCTATGGAGGAGGGGTTAGGGTTGCCAGCCTCCAGGTGGGGCCTGGGGACCACCGGGAATCATGGCTGATCTCCAGACGACCGAGATTGGTTCCTTTGGAGGAAGCAGCGGCTTTGGAGGGCAGGCAGCGGGCAGCGTTGCATCCTCTGCCCTTCCCCCTGCTCTGTCCCCCGATCTCCAGGAATCTCCCCAAGCTGGAGTTGGTGATCGTACTGCTTGCTCAGCACAGACTCTGGTGAGAGATAGGGTTGCCAACTCCAGGTTGGGAAATATCAGGAGATTTTTGGGGGGTGGAGGCTGAGGAAGGCGGGGTTTGGGGGCGGGAGGGACTTCAGTGGGGTCTCATGCCACAGAGTCCATCTTCCAAAGTGAGATTGTCTCTGTCGCCTGGAGATCAATTGTAACCAATGCACCCTCTAAGCTGCAGAGTCTTGTGAGAAAAATCCAGTGAGCTCCTGGCATTAAAGTGGTGAGCAAGCCATTTGGCCGCTGCAGCAATCAGTTTGCTCTGGAGCCACATCCCTTCCTGAGCAGAGACAAAAAACGTGTTAACCGAAAACGCAATCAGTCGCCCTCCCTTGCCCCGTGGTTTCCGGAAACTAGTACCTCGGAGGTACCAGTTTTTTAAGCCGCATCTTCGGCGAGAAGCCTTGGGTTCGCAACGGGAGCTCTACGCTTTCCAGATGTTGCAGTGTGATCACGCCCGGAAAATCCGCCAATCTTCCATCTCTGTAGCGTGGCTAATGCTTCGTGTGACTGCAGCCAAGGTTAAATATACTGTGCTCTCAGCCAGCCAGGTGCTTCGCCGGAACTCAAACAATGCACTAAATACTTCTTAATCCTTCTAAATAACAGATAAATGTTAGTCATACAGACAGACATTTCTCCAGCTCCATTGAGAAGTTCTGAGGCAGAAGATTGGCCCCTCAGGAGCATAAAGAACTCTCTGAGTGACTAAAGATTGGCCAGGAGCTAGTGAAAAGGACCCACATTTATACAAAAAGAATCAATCGGTTTGGCAATCTTATTACATGTGTAAATTACACCTATTGACACTTTTGCTTTGATTTTGGTGGGATCTTCCTACGCAGAGGATGTCCTAACACATTCCAAAGTTTTACAATGTCAAAATATCTCAATTATAGATAGTGCAGGTCTTCAGGTCTTAAATTACATCTATAGGTTTGTTTTTGTTTTTTCTCAGATGTGAAAATGTTCCTTGGTTCAGAGCTCATGAGATAAACCATTCATAAACCACTGCTTTCACTCCTTGGAATCACTTGCTTTTCACTTTTCACTTGCTTTTCTTTGTATTTTGAGTAAAAAATAATGTTGTTAATTGGGTTTGTCTGTGTCTTTTATACAGTTTCCATCTCTGGTACATGACATTACATTTTATAGAATACATAGTCTGGATCAACACCCCTGATCTAACTATTTATCATACCATATGCGAACTCATTTATAAGACGTGGAACAATAAAAAAGTCCACCCTGGAAAAAGAATAATAAAAATTATGATGTATATGGTAAATTCTCCCCCATTGGACTGTTTTGGACTGGAGGCTGGGAGGGAGCTCTGCAACTTACCTGGCTGCTTCTTGCTCTGACTGAGGGCTGCTGGAAGCAGGGGGCGGGGCTTGTTGCATGTGCCCGCCCCCTGGGCTCTTTACTGCCGGAGCTCCGCTCCTGTGCGCTCCCGCAGGAAATGGCCCCTGCCTGTAAGGGAGCTGTGCAGCGTCGTCCCAAACCAAAACAGCAGCGAGGTCTGCCTCATGCACCACTTATGTCTCCTGACCCGATATGCTTGCTTGTTACAGAGCCGTGGGACAACCCAGAAGCCAAAGAAGCCTCCGGGAGAAGGGGACTTTGAAACGATTAAACTGATCAGCAACGGGGCCTACGGGTAAGTCAGCCGCCCTGGGGTACCAGCCTGCTCGGTCACGTCTGCCCAGATGGTTCTCCTGGTTTTTGGTTCCTCTCCAAGACACGGCCCAGGGCTACGGTTGCCAATCTCCAGGTAGTGGCTGGAGACACACACACACCCACCCCGCTATTATAACTGATCTCCAGGAAATAGAGCCGTTCCCCTCGAGAAAATGTCCTTTAATTTACGTAGTGAGCAGCAGGGCTATTTTTGGGCAGGAACGCACAGGAATGGAGTTCCAGCTAGCTCCCAAGTTGGCCACGCCCAGCAGGAACACATTAGCATAATAGGCCACACCCAATAGCAGAAACTCATTAGTATTGGCTACGTTAGGGGTGTGTGGCCAAACATGCAAAGGGGTTCCTGCTACAAAAAAAGGCCCTGGGTTTTGACAACAAACAAGGTAAACAGAATAAGAAGCAAAAGGTGGGTGTGGCTGGATGACTATACTTCTGGTAACATGGGGGTGCGGCCTAATATGCTAATGAGCTATGCTCTCATGGGTGTGGCTGGATATGCTAATGAGTTTCTGTTGTTGGGTGTGGCCTATAATGCTAATGAGTTCCTGATGGGCTTTTTCTACAAAAAAAGCCCTGGTGAGCAGGGTTCCCTCTAAGCTGAGTTAGTATGAGCTTGCTCACAGCTTTTAGCCCCGAGCTCACACATTTTTATCTCGGCTCGGGAAAGGGGGGCTCCAGAGCAAACTGACTGATGCAGCAGCCAAATCGCTCGCTCACAGTTTTAATGCCAGCAGCTCACAAAGTAGAATTTTTGCTCACAAGACTCCACAGCTCAGAGGGAGCATTGGTAGTGAGAGCAGCGGATTTCACGCCCCTTCCCCTGAGAGCCAGCGAAGTATAGGAGTTAAGAGTGCTGGAGCCGTATCTGGGAGACCTGGGTTCGAATCCCCACTCGCACCATGGAAACTCGCTTGGGTGACCTCGGGCCACTCACACTTCCTCAGCCTGACCTACCTCACAGGGTTGTTGTGAGGATGAAATGGGCCCCTATCGTGGAGAAAGGCAAGGTACACATGAAGTAAATTATGAGGGGAAGAAGAAGAAGATGAGATTGGATGTATACCCTGCCCTTCACTACCCAAAGGAGTCTCAGAGCGGCTGACAAACTCCTTTCCCTTCCCCTCCCCACAACAGACACCCTGTGAGGTAAAAGAAGAAGAAGAAGATATTGGATTTATACCCTGCCCTTCACCACCCAAAGGAGTCTCAGAGCGGCTCACAAACTCCTCTCCCTTTCCCTCCCCACCACAGACACCCTGTGAGGTAGGCGGGGCTGAGAGAGCTCTTGACAGAAACGGCTCTTTTTCAAGAACAGCTGTGCCAGAACTATGGCTTGCCCAAGGTCATCCAGCCAGGTGCAAGTGGAGGAGTGGGGAATATAACCCGGTTCTCCCATATTAGAGTCCGCGTACTTAACCACAACACCAAACTGGCTTTCAGAACAAACTGACGTTGCCAAAGATCGAACCTGAGCGTTGTTGCGTGCAGAGCGGATGCCCTTGCACTGAGCCACAGCCATGGCCGCGCACGGTTTCTGTCTCTTGTGACTTCGGGATGGGTTGGGGAGCCCTACTGGCTAGCGCCCAGGGAGCGACTCCCCTCCTGCTGACCGCGTCTCCTCTGCTTCTTCCCTCTCTCAGAGCCGTGTACCTGGTGCGGCACAAAGAGACCCGCCAGCGCTTTGCCATGAAGAAGATCAACAAGCAGAACCTCATTCTGCGCAACCAGATCCAACAGGCCTTTGTGGAGCGGGACATCCTGACGTTCGCCGAGAACCCCTTCGTGGTCAGCATGTTCTGCTCTTTCGAGACGAAGCGCTACCTCTGCATGGTCATGGAGTATGTCGAAGGTATGGGGGGGGGATTAATATCCTGGCCCCACTGGTGGACCTCCTGAGGGCCCCTGGTATTTCTGGCCACTGTGTGACACAGAGTGTTGGACTGGAGGGGCCACTGGCCTGATCCAACATTGGCTTATCTTAAGTTCTTATGTATGGGGCAAGGGATGCTCTGTGTTCTTGGTGCTTGGGGGGGGGGGCAACAGTGGGAGGGTTCCTAGTGTTCTGGCCCCACTGCTGGACCTCCTGATGGAACCTGGTATTTTTGGCCACTGTGTGACAGAGTGTTGGACTAGATGGGCCATTGGCCTGATGTCTGGCGTCTCTTATGTTCTTATGGGGGGGGGGGTGGAGGCCCTGGTGGCATGGGTTCTCTACGGCTGCCTCCGCCCTAGGCCCCAACGCAGTGCCATGGGCACCATGCAACCGGCCGTCACCGTTCCTGGTGTCTGGTGCCCACCAAGTGTTTTGAGAAAGAGAGCAGGGCCAGGTTTCCGACTGGCCACCAGAGACTTGCTTGGATGTGCGGATTTTTACAAAAGTACAGAGTGTTGGACTGGATGGGCCTTTGGCCTGATCCAACATTGGCGTCTCTTATGTTCTTATGGGGGGGTGGAGGCCCTGGTGGCATGGATTCTCTACGGCTGCCTTCGCCTAGGCCCCAATGCAGTGCCCGTGGGCACCATGCTACCGGCCGTAACCGTTCCTGGTGTCCGGCGCCCACCAAGTGTTTTGAGAAAGAGAGCAGGGCCAGGTTTCCGACTGGCCACCGGAGACTTGCTTGGATGTGCAGATTTTTACAAAAGGGTGCTTCGGCAGCAATGGTAAGCAGTGGCAGCCGTTACGTGGCCGGCTCAGCTCCCCGCAGCGGTCATTTGGTGGCAGCTGTTTTGTGGCTGTGCCCTCCGCTTCATGTCGGAATTCCAAAAGTGCCCGTAAGCTCAAAAAGTTTGGAGACCTCTGACCTAGTCGGTGCCTGGGCAACACTGGTCCAGGGAGCAGCTGTTTTGGCCGGGTTCAGAAGGCTGTTGGGGGTGCAGGACTTTACAGAGTGAATTCGTCCAATCAAGAACTTCAAGGATCGTGTCAGAAATAGAGATGTAAAATTTCCGGAAATTTTGAAGCTCGGAAAAAAACCTGGTTTTTTTTCCGGTTTTTTTCGGGGGGAAACGGAAATTTTCGGAAAAATTGAAAAAAATGCTACATTAGCATTTCTTTTGTCTTTTCTAGATTGAAAGTCATTCTATTACTTTAGGAACATAAAATATGACTATGGACATTTTTACTTGGCATGAAATTATCACAACTAGCATATTAAAAATATAGTGTATCTAAACAATTATTACAAACAGAATACCCATCCACATGCAAAAACAAAACTGAAACTTTTTTATTTTCTTCTGACAATCGCACCTCCTAAAGGAAGAAATGCATCTTGTTCTTGCATTGGAGAGTTCAGTTTGTAACCCATGTTAAAATAAAATGTTCCATAATCAATTTTTTTTCTTTTCTTTTCTTTTTTCAATTTTTCCAATTTTTCGGAAAAAAACCAAAAAGGCTTCAGGAAAAAAACGGGGGAAAAACGTTTTTTTTCTGAATTTTTCTGGTTTTTTTCCGGGCCTTCACATCTCTAGTCAGAAATCAACTGCATTTGCCATGCCATTTGCCTAACCCAAGAACCCGCTCTGGTTAACGGGCCACCATCTTGCTTCCGCACAAGAACATGATTTTATTGTATTCATAACAAGGCTGTGCTTCGGGCAAACTTGGAACAGTGGGCCAACATCCTCCTCACCTGTTTTCACTGCCCCAGGAGGTGGTGGCAGCTACAAGCACGGACGGCTTCAAGAGGGAATTAGATAAACATACAGAGCAGAAGTCCATCAGTGGCTATGTGCCACAAGGTATAGATAGAAACTCTTGGTCAGGGGCAAGGGATGCTCTGTCTTCTTGGTGCTTGGGGGTGGGGGGCAACAGTGGAAGGGCTTCTGGTGTCCTAGCCCCACTGCTGGACCTCCTGATGGCACCTGGTATTTTTGGCCACTGTGTGACACAGAGTGTTGGATCGGATGAGCCATTGGCCTGATCCAACATTGGCTTCTCTTATGTTCTTATAAGAGGGAATTGGATATGGAGCAGAGGTCCATCAGTGGCTATGAGCCACAAGGTATAGATAGGAACTCTTGGTCTGGAGCAAGTGATGCTCTGTCTTGGTGCTTGGGGGTGGGGGGCAACAGTGGGAGGGCTTCTGGTGTCCTGACCCCACTGCTGGACCTCCTGAGGGCACCTGGTATTTTTGGCCACTGTGTGACACAGAGTGTTGGACGGGATGGGCCACTGGCCTGATCTAACATTGGCTTCTCTTACGTTCTTATGGTCCTCTCCCTAATAATGCTCCCTCTAAGCTGTGGAGCCTCGTGAGCAAAAATTCTACTTTGTGAGCTCCTGGCATTGAAGTTGTGAGCGAGCGATTTGCCAACCGCATCAGTTAGTTTGCTCTGGAGCCATCCTTCCTGAGCTAAGACCAAAATGTGTGAGCTGGAGGCTAAAAAACTGTGAGCGAGCTCACGCTAACTCAGCTTAGAGGGAACACTGTAATCCCTAACCACTGGGCCTTCCTCCCACCAGGTGGGGACTGCGCCACGCTGCTGAAGAATATCGGGGCACTGCCCGTCGAGATGGCCCGCATGTACTTCGCCGAGACCGTCCTCGCCCTGGAGTACCTACACAACTATGGCATTGTCCATCGGGACCTGAAGCCTGATAAGTACGCGGCCGAGGGGTAGCCCCCACCCCCACCCCGTTTGGTGTAGTGGTTAGGAGCGCAGACTCTAATCTGAGAGAACTGAGTTTGATTCCCCAACTCCTCCATGTGAAGCAAGCTGGGTGAACTTGGGCAAGCCACAGTTCTCTCAGAGCTGTTAACTCAAGCGCTGTTCTCGTGAGAGCTCTCTCAGCCCTGCCGATCTCACAGGGTGTCTGTAGTGCGGAGGGGAAGGGGTCTGTAAACTGCTCTGAGACTCCCAAGTGAAGGGTGGAGTATAAATCCAATCTCCTCCTCCTCCTCTTCTTCTTCTTCTCGTCCCCCTCCTCCTCTTCTTGTTCTCCTCCTCCTCCTCTTCTCCTCCTCCTCCACCACCACCTCTTCTTCTTGTTGTTGTTCTTCTGCTCCTCCTTCTATTCTTATCCTCCTCCTCTTCCTCCACTTCTCCTCCTCCTCCACCACCTCTTCTTCTTGTTGTTGTTCTTCTGCTCCTCCTCCTCCTCTTCCTCCACCTCTTCTTCTTTCTCTTCTTCTTGTTCTCCTCCTCCTATTCTTCTTCTTCTTCTTCTTCTTCTTCTCCTCCTCCTCCTCTTCCTCCACTTCTCCTCCTCCTCTTCCTTCTTCCTCTTTCCTTCCTTCCTTCCTTTCTTCCTTCCTTCTTCTCCCCCCCATGGGGAGGCAAACACATTCCTTGCTGAAGGGTCTGACTCATTACCCCCACCCCTCACCGCGTTCCTCTGTCACCTCTGGGTCGAGGGGGTAGCCGCGATGTGCCCTCCAGCCTCTCTGATTCTTCTTCCGCTTCCTCCCCAGCCTCCTCATCACCTCCATGGGGCACATCAAGCTGACGGACTTTGGCCTCTCCAAGATGGGGCTCATGAGCCTCACCACCAACCTCTACGAAGGCCACATTGAGAAGGACGCCCGGGAGTTCCTCGATAAACAGGTGGGGTATTCGTGCGTGTGAGCATCTGTAACCGTCCCGCAGGACCTGTGAGACGGAGCTCTTCCGCCAGGCTTTTGGGGAGGCAGCCTCTCCTATTATCATACTGTTACCTCTCTGTTACTCATAATGATCACCACCTTGGTGTGGTGGTGAAGTGCGCAGATTCTAATCTGGGACAACCGGGTTTGATTCCCCACTCCTCCTTCACATGCAGCTGCTGGTGTGACCTTGGGTCAGTCACAAGTTCTCTCAGAGCTGTTCTCTCAGGAGCAGTCCTCAAGAGAGATCTCTCAGCCCCACCTACCTCACAGGGTGTCTGCTGTGGGGAGGGGAAGGGAAAGGAGATTGTAAGCCGCTCTGAGACTCCTTTGGGTAGTGAAGGGCGGGGTATAAATCTCTTCTCTGTGTTTGGTGAGAGCCACTTTGGCGTGGTGGTTAGGAGCGCGGACTCTAATCTGGGAAAACCAGGTTCGATTTCCCCACTCCTCCACTTGCAGCTGCTGGATGACCTTGGGCAAGCCGTAGTTCCGTCAGATGCAGCTTGAAGCCTGTATTTTCTTGGCTGCTAAAGCAAAGAGTGACGCTCTATAGGAGACAAGTGGATCAGCACCCGAGAGAAGGAAAAAACAGCTTTTCTGTGTTTGTTTTATTTGTCTGTGTTTGTGTGGAACCTCCTTTTGGAGAACTCACAAGAAGTGACATTTTAATTAATTTATTTATTTATCTTTGGATTTGTATCCTGCCCTCCCCGAAGGCTCAGCGTGGCTCACTGTTGAACTACTGACCTTCCACAGCCTGCAGTTCAGCGTCTTAACCACTTGAGCCACCGAAGCTCCACTATTTGGTATTAGTCATAATTAAAAGAAGAAAGGGAGCTGCGGTGGCTCAAGCGGTTAAGACGCTGAACTGCAGGCTGTGGAATGATAGTAATAACCATATTAGTCCAAAAAGTGGGGGGGAAGGAATACTTGTAAAAAGAATAAAATAAGAAATAAGGATTTAATAGTTAAGAAGGTGTTTGAAAACAAAAGTGAGAGTTAAAGTATGAGTTGTGATTAAAAAGATATAAATAAGAAAACTATTATTATAGTGTTGGTGAAGTTAACTAGCATGGTTTTCAGAGAAGATAATTATTTAATATATATGCAGAGTACATCATGCGAAATGCTGGCCTGGATGAATCACAAGCGGGAATTAAGATTGCTGGGGAAAAGATCAACAACCTCAGATATGCAGACGATACCACTCTATTGGCAGAAAGTGAAGAGGACCTAAAGAGCCTCTTGCTCAGGGTCAAAGAGGAGAGCGCAAAAGTGGGCTTGAAGCTCAACATCAAAAAAACTAAGATCATGGCATCCGGCCCCATCACTCCTTGGCAAATAGAAGGGGAAGTCGTGGAAGTAGTGACAGACTTCACGTTCCTGGGATCCCAGATCACCGCAGACTGTGACTGCAGCCATGAAATTAAAAGACGCCTGCTCCTTGGGAGGAAAGCAATGGCGAACCTAAACAGCATGATAAAAAGTAGAGACATCACCCTGCCAACAAAAGTCCACATGGTCAAAGCAATGGTATTCCCAGTAGTCATGTATGGCTGCGAGAGTTGGACTATAAGGAAGGCCAAGCGCCGAAGAATAGATTCTTTTGAACTATGGTGCTGGAGAAGACTCTTGAGAGTCCCTTGGACTGCAAAAAGATCAAATCAGTCAATCCTAAAAGAAATCAACCCTGACTGTTCCCTGGAAGGCCAGATAATGAAACTGAAGCTCAAATACTTTGGCCACCAAATGAGAAGGGAGCACTCACTGGAAAAGACCCTGATGCTGGGAAAGATTGAAGGTCAAAGAAGACGGGGACGGCAAAGGATGAGATGGTTAGACAGTGTCATCAATCTACCACTGCTGGCTTAGGCCTCACCCTTTGCTGAAATGAAGTCATAACAGGTGAGGTCTCCAGGCCGGCGCGCTTCATAATTAGTTTGGTTTTTCTGTGCTTTCTCAGAGAACTCCTGGAAAAACTAAGAGTTTTTTTTTAACATGATACATTCTCCAAGAAAGCTCAGAATGCTGGCAGATCTAAGGAAGCTCCTTCTTATTCTTCCCTCCTGCTTTCTCTTCCTCGCCCCTTCCCCAAGCAATTTTATAGGTACAAACAGGGCTCTTTTTGTAGAAAAAGCCCAGCAGGAACTCATTAGCATAATAGGCCACACCCAACAGCAGGAACTCATTAGCATATTGGGCCACACCCCTGACAGCACCGCTCATTAGCACATTAGGCCGCACCCCCATGTTACCAGAAGTGTGGTCATCCAGCCACACCCACCTTTTGCTTCTTATTCTGTTTACCTTGTTTGTTGTCAAAATCAAGGCCTTTTTTGTAGCCGGAACTCCTTTGCATGTTAGGCCACACACCCCTAATATAGTCAATCCTAATGAGTTTCTGCTGCTGGGTGTGGCCTATTATGCTAATGAGTTCCTGCTGGGCGTGGCCAGCTTGGGAGCCAGCCGGAACTCCGTTCCTGTGCGTTCCTGCCCCAAAATAGCCCTGTATATATATATTAGCCAGAGTCGACCAAGATCTGAAGAGACCAGGCTGGCCTGGGCCATCTCGGTCAGGGCAGATCTGAGCTAACTCAGTGAAAATTGGCATCTTGGCAGGTGTGTGGCACCCCTGAATACATTGCTCCTGAGGTGATCCTTCGCCAAGGCTACGGGAAGCCGGTGGACTGGTGGGCGATGGGCATCATCCTGTATGAATTCCTGGTGGGGTGCGTGCCCTTCTTCGGAGACACGCCGGAGGAGCTCTTTGGCCAGGTCATCACCGGTAGGTGGAAGGCGGACGTTAGTCCTTCCGGTACAGCCGGGAGCAGTCCACCAGCCTCACATTGCTAAGGTGGGGGGAGGGAGCCAATGTTCTTTTCTGGTCATGAACACAAGATCAAACCAGGGTAGAGCGGGGTTATGCCGAGCCAGAAAGAAGACAGGAGGGGTCTTTTGGATCTGGCGACTCCAGGACGCTTTCCTCTTTTGTCGTCAAGTTGGGATAGTTTGTGAGATACAGAGGTCTGCGTAGCAACCCAGCACCTCCTCGGTGGTCTCCCCCTCCAAGGATTAACCAGGGCCGACCCGGCTTAGCTTCCGAGATCTGAAAAGATCCGGCTAGCCTGGGCGATCCAGGTCAGGGCTCAGGAAGTAATCACTCGTATAAATTTTGCAGTAGGATACTCATTGATCTTTGAGGACGCTCCTGTACTTTTAACCTATTTGCCCGTCTTGGAGGCTAACCGATGGTCCATGAAAGTGGAGCTTCCATGCCCCTAGAATTGCGAAAACACTTCTGTTCCAACAGTGGAGAGGCAAATGTCCACCTCCTGTAGTCCAGTGGATTGAGGGTCTCACAACCTTACCAACGTTCGTGTGTAACAGTTCTGCATGGAGAGGCTTTGAGATATTTGGAAACTGTCAGACTCCTGGTCAAGTTATTCTCAGCCACGCTCTCTTTGGCAGTGATATGTTGATTGAGTTATAAGCAAGATCCAGGCCATATCAGCACCGTGCAAACCAAAGTGGGAGATCACGGGATGGGAAAGGAAGCTGACAACTGTGATGTAGAATGCCAAAAAAAAAAGGTTCTTCACCAACCTGTAAGTTCTTTTTTCAGTATTCAGTTGACTGGAAGCAATTCAAACGCCATCAACCCCAACGAACCACACATATCACATCTCGTTTCGTGTAGACCTTTATCAGAGTGGGTAGCGTTGAAATACCTAAATAATGTTAATCCATTTGGCAAACACGCTAGTCATATCTCATAGTCACATTCATCAAATCCATTAGTAAACTGGTGAAGAACCTTTTTTTTTTGGCACTATACATCACGGTTTGCTTCCTTTCAACATAACAGTACCGTGTCAGATCTGAAGATGTTGGCGGGTACAATCACAGATCTAGGTAATTTAAATGTTACCCTTCCCAAGGCCCACTCGTACGTGGTCAGGGTCGCAAAATCGCCTGACTCTACCTGGCCCAAAAGATGCCAGACTGGCCATAACGAGGGCCAGGGCCTTTTCAGTGGCAGCTCCACACTGGCGGAATGAGCTCCTGGAGGACATCAGGGCCCCGCGGGACCTCTTACAGTTCCGCAGGGCCCGTGAAATGGAGCTCTTCCACCAGGTCTTCGATTAGGAGCCGCCACTGAGGAATGTACCATCGTAAGTTTCTGCCCACAGACAACCCCTTCCAAGAGTCTTCTCTGTGCTCTGCTGCTTTCAGATGACATCTTGTGGCCAGAAGGGGAAGAGGCACTTCCTGCAGATGCTCAGGACCTTATTTCCTGCCTCCTGCAGACCAATCCTCTTCTGCGTCTGGGTGCAGGTAAGGACTGGTGCCGATAGGTGGGCTACTGTGGGTGATGGCCCTGCTAGTAATTCCCTCGTTTTCTGCTGCTGTAAATTTGCAAAAGGGGACACTGAACTGTTGACTGACTTTGGGTTTGAAAAGGTCATAAGAACATAAGAAGAGCCCTGCTGGATCAGACCAGGGAGGGTCCAACAGTGGCCAGCCAGTCCCTCTGGAGGGCCAGCAACAGGGCAGAGAGGCCGAGGCCTTCCCATGATAAGAGCATCAGAAGAGCCCTGCTGGGTCAGACCAGTGAGGGTCCACCTAGTCCAGCCTCCCGTCTCACACAGGGGCCAGCCAGTCCCTCTGGAGGGCCAGCAACAGGGCAGAGAGGCCGAGGCCTTCCCATGATAAGAGCATCAGAAGAGCCCTGCTGGGTCAGACCAGTGAGGGTCCACCTAGTCCAGCCTCCCGTCTCACACAGGGGCCAGCCAGTCCCTCTGGAGGGCCAGCAACAGGGCAGAGAGGCTGAGGCCTTCCCCTGATAAGGACACCAGAAGAGCCCTGCTGGGTCAGACCAGGGAGGGTCCCTTTAGTCCACCCTCCCGTCTCACTCAGGGGCCAGCCAGTTCCTCTGGAGGGCCAACAACAGGGTACAGATGTTGCCTCCTGGCTCTGGGATTCAGAGGTTTAGTGCCTTTGAATCTGGAGGTTCCCCTCAGTCACCAGGGCTAGTAGCCATTTACATACTTATCCCCCATGAATCTATCTAATCCCCTTTTCAAGCTGTTTATTCCTGTGGCCATCACTATATCCTCTAGCAACAAATACCGCATTTTAATCCCTCTCTGTGTAAAGTAGTAGAAGAAGAAGAAGATAAGAGATTGGATTTATACCCCGCCCTTCACTTGGAGTCTCAGAGCGACTGACAAACTCCTTTCCCTCCCCCTCCCCACCACAGACACTCTGTGAGGTGGGTGGGGCTGAGAGAGCTCTGACACAAACTGCTCTTTCAGGAACCGCTGTGCCAGAGCTTGTGACTGACCCAAGGTCACATCAGCAGGTGCAGGTGGAGGAGTGGGGAATCAAACCCGGTTCTCCCAGATTAGAGTCCGCGCACTTAACCACCACACCAAACTGGCATGTCCGGCCCTCATAGCATTCCCTTTTGTCCATCCTGAACCTACTGCCCATCAGCTTCATCAGACGCTTTCGAGTTCTAGTATTTTGGGAAAGGGAGAAAAATCCTTGTGGGCCTTCCCCATTTTCACTGTTTAGGAGCGGCATCACTGCTTTCTTGGCAAGACCGCCGTGTTGCCCACCCACCCACTCGCACACGCACACCCTCGCCGGTCTGTCCTGGCCCCCCAATTATCACAACACACACACCCCGGTTTGATTCGTGGTGGTTTCCTGGAGAGGGCACCATTGTGGATTGTTTTGCAGGCGGCGCTTACGAAGTGAAGCAGCACTCCTTCTTCAAAGACCTGGACTGGAACGGACTCCTGAGGCAGAAAGCGGAGTTCATCCCCCACCTGGAGTCGGAGGAAGACACCAGCTATTTTGACAGCAAGTATCGCACAACCTAGCAGTTCAAAAGCAAGACATTGCAAGTAGATAAATAGGGACCACTGCGGTGGGAAGGGAACAGCGTTCCGTGCGCCTTGGTGTTTAGTCATGCCGGCCCGAGAACCCCAGGAACGACTCTCGACTTCGGCTTGGAAACGGAGATGAGCACCGCCACCCTAGAGTCGGACTCGACTGGCTTTCGAGCATGGGACCCTTTACCTTGACCTTTTTATCGCACAGGGGTGGCTGTGTTGGCCTGCCGAGGGAACGAGAAACGGGAACCTTGTAGCCCCTTTACACAAGGTTCCCCAACGCTGGCACCATAGCGGCTGCCAATACTTCACTTGGCACCCACTCAGCTTTTTAGAAAATGGGGGGGGCCTTTGGTAAGGGCTCGTTACTGGCTTCCTTCATTCAAGTGAAAGAGTTTTCCACTAGATGATGAGGAGGATGAGTAAGCAACAGGTGTGGCTCCACTCCTCCTTTACGATTTCGTTCTTCCCAGGAGACATGAAGAGGGAGGTGTTGTGTGTGGTTCTGCCTCCCAGGGCAGCCCTTTTCTACATGGCTCCGCTTCCTGTGGGAAGCCATTTGGGGAGTGGCACTTCCTTCCTGTCAGAATTACAAAGGCACCTTCAGACTCTAAAAGCCTTGAAGCAGAGGATTAGGCCCCCGGAGGGCTTCTCTCAGGCCCGCAGTGGAACTGGCTGTCTTCTGATTCTTCTTCCAGTTCTGCTGCTGCTGCATCATCCTAGGTTTGCAGCTTACAGATACACACCTGAGCAGCATACTCAAGATTGCAACAGCACAGACATTTTGATGCAATAATTCAGAGCCAAGAGGTGTCAGTTATCAGACACTGTTCAATAAACAGAATATTGCAAGAGTGCTGATGTTTTAAGCATGTTTTTATTTTAAGTGAAAA